GAAGAAAAGAGGGAAGCTTGTAATTGTTTTGTTGTTTGAATGAATACACATTTCTACATATACATTTTACATCTCGTGTGTGTGTGTGTGTGTGTGTGTGTGTGTGTGTGTGTGTGTGCATGTGAATGTCTGTCCATTGTGCGTCAGTCTGTCTGGCTGCTTACCATGTCAATGAGAATGTGATCGCCTGGTGTTTCTTACCTGCAGCAGGTCAGACATCTAAACCAGTCTGATTGGCTGACTGTCTGTCTATCTGACTCTTCCTCACACTCACCTGTCACTCAAATACTTCCCTGTCAGTCAAAACCCTTACCTCCCAGACCCAATACCTGCCAACCTGGTGAAGGTCTCATATTTGTTTGTCTGTTCAATTTGCTATTTTCATACGAAAGCCTAGAAACCTAGCATGCAATACTATCAGTATGCTGTCTGGCTACTGTGCTTGCTCAATGTGGTAGTGCAGTGAATATTGTCATGATAAGTTACACTTTTGTTTCATCCGCTTGCTGTATACGTCTGAGGATCATGGGAAATGTAGTTTTTTTTGTGTCTAACCTGTTTATTGTTCTGCTCCTCCTGCGCCTGGCGGAACTCCTGTTCGATCTCATTGAAGATACCCACCTCCTCACAGTTACGCAGGAAACGGGTCGGCGTTGGGGTCTGGTCTGATCACACACAGCACAGAGAGAGCAAACAGACATTAAGCATCAAAGAGATATCATAACAACCATGATATTGCTATAGCCTATATCAGAGTGCACAGATAGGTTTTGGTGACTGCAGAGACAGATATAAACCAGCACCTCAGGTAGCATACAGCTAGCATGGTTTCAACATCACTACAACTATGTTCAACCTGCTTTGTGTAGCCTGTCCCTAGCCGCTGATCTTGGGTCAGTTTTGCATCTTCCCCACAAATGGTTAAGGTTAGGATTGGAGAAGGGGAAGCTGATCCTAGATCTGTACTTAGGGGAAACTTCAGCCCAGAGCGATCACCATAGTAACCGAGATAAGATCAGTCAGATTGCGTTACTCCACTGTAGTCTAAACTATCAGGGTTGAAAGGTCGCAAGGTTGCAAGGTCGCAAGGTCAGGAGTCAAGAGTCACAAGCTCAGCACTCCTTTGTTTTGACAGGAGATTTCCTCCAGGAGGGCTGAGTGTTTACAGGCCCCTGCAGGAGAGAAGCCGACTGTTAGGGTCAAAGGTCAACAGAGATGTTTAAACCAACACAGACAGACAGCAGTTGCCGCAGTAACAGACAGACAGGATTGAGAGTGTGTTTTTGTCTGAGGCTGAGCCTTGGCCACCAGTGCTCTCATTTTTTCATCAACCACTGAAGAGAGGTCACACGCACGCACGCACACACACACACACACACACACACACACACAGACATGCATACGAGTGCTCACACACACACAGACACACACGCACACCACGGCCGGACCACTCATTAGGCAGGATTAGTCAGCCGCCTATGGCAGCAGATTGACGAGGGCGGCAATGTTCCGTAAAAAAATAATCAAACATAAATCATGTAGCAGATATAGGATTTGGTAGAAAGAGTATGTGGCCTTTTCTGTAGCCTACAGGCTGGAGATAACATGTATGACAATGTCATGAGATGGACCTTTTTACATTATGCAGGTTTCTACGATCAAATAGCCTAACCTAAATGGCGCCCAATCAAATAAAAAATGCTCTGTCATGTTAACAAACATATCCTAAAAACTGGACAGGTCAAAGTAAAATGGATATTATGGAATGGACAATCACAACTGTTGTCCAGGAGTTTCACCCCATTGTCATGATCAGTGGTTTCAAGTTCGTATCCGTACATTTTTGACAAGCTGATCCTAGCGAAAAAGAAAATGATTCTGCATTTCCCTCTGTGTAAACACATTGCAAATAGGCTCACGATACAGTCGTATGAAAAATTTTGGGCACCCCTGACAATTTCCATGATTTCCATTTATAAATAATTGGGTGTTTTGGATCAGTAATTTCATTTTGATCTATCAAATAACTGATGGACACAGTAATATTTCAGTAGTGAAATGAGGTTTATTGGATTAACAGAAAATGTGCAATATGCATCAAAACTAAATTAGACAGGTGCATAAATTTGGGCACCCCAACAGAAAAATCACATCAATATTTAGTAGAGCCTCCTTTTGCTAAAATAACAGCCTCTAGACGCTTCCTATAGCCTCTAATGAGTGTCTGGATGAAGGTATTTTGGACCATTCCTCCTTACAAAACATCTCCACTTCAGTTAGGTTTGATGGTTGCTGAGCATGGACAGCCCGCTTCAAATCATCCCACAGATTCTCAATGATATTCAGGTCTGGGGACTGGGATGGCCATTCCAGAACATTGTACTTGTTCCTCTGCATAAATGCCCGGGTAGATTTTGAGCAGTGTTTTGGGTTGTTGTCTTGTTGAAATATCCAGCCCCGGCGTAACATCAACTTTGTGACTGATTCTTCAACATTATTCCCAAGAATCTGCTGATATTGAGTGGAATCCATGTGACCCTCAACTTTAACAAGATTCCCAGTACCGGCACTGGCCACACAGCCCCACAGCATGATGGAACCCCCACCAAATTTGACTGTGGGTAGTAAGTGTTTTTCTTGGTACGCTGTGTTCTTTTGCCGCCATGCATAACGCCCCTTGTTATGACCAAATAACTAAATATTTGTTTCATCAATCCACAGCACCTTATTCCAAAATGAAGCTGGCTTTTCCAAATATGCGTTTGCATACCTCAAGCGACTGTTTGTAGCGTGTGTGCAGAAAAGGCTTCTTCCGCATCACTCTCACGTACAGCTTCTCCTTGTGCAAAGTGCGCTGAATTGTTGAACGATGCACAGTGACACCATCTGCAGCAAGATGATGTTGTAGGTCTTTGGAGGTGGTCTGTGGGCTGTTTTTGACCGTTCTCACCATCCTTCGCCTTTGCCTCTCCGATATTTTACTTGGCCTGCCACTTCTGGCCTTAACAAGAACTGTGCCTGTGGTCTTCCATTTCCTCACTATGTTCCTCACAGTGGACACTGACAGCTTACATCTCTGCGATAGCTTTTTGTAGCCTTCCCCTAAACCATAATGTTGAACAATCTTTGTTTTCAGGTCATTTGAGAGTTGTTTTGAGGCCCCCATGTTGCCACTCTTCAGAGGAGAGTCAAAGAGAACAACAACTTGCAATTGGCCACCTTAAATACCTTTTCTCATGATTGGATGCACTTGTCTATGAAGTTCAAGGCTTAATGAGCTCACCAAACCAATTGTGTGTTCCAATTAATCAGTGCTAAGTAGTTACAGGTATTCAAATCAACAGAATGACAAGGGTGCCCACATTTTTGCATAGCCTATTTTTCACATCTGATTTAATTTCATACAACTTAATATTGCTACACTAAAAATCTTTGTCTGGACAATACCCCAGTACTCAGCTTTTATTAGAAAATGAATGGCATGCCACTGTGATCATTTTCTGTGACGACAGAGTAAATTATTATGCAGCCTCAGAGGGGTGCCCAAACTTTTTCATACGACTGTAACTCCTGATAAAGTTGGGTAGCTGATATTCAGAGCTTAAACAATCAAATTGATTAGTCACAGAAATCAGGACTACTAAAGCCAGTGCAACGGCCTGTTTTTACAAATGTTGGGCCTACCACATGGATGGGCATTCATAAAATCCCATTGCAGCCGACATGGTAGCTTCACCCCAGTAAGCACGAGCCTACGTCTTTTGGAAGACTTTTTTTGGTCCTGTCTGGACTTTTACAAACGGTAGGTTTACCACATACAGTGAGGGAAAAAAAGTATTTTGATCCCCTGCTGATTTTGTACGTTTGCCCACTGATAAAGACATGATCAGTCTATAATTTTAATGGTAGGTTTATTTGAACAGTGAGAGACAGAATAACAACAAAAAAATCCAGAAAAAAGCATGTCAAAAATGTTATAAATTGATTTGCATTTTAATGAGGGAAATAAGTATTTGACCCCTCTGCAAAACATGACTTAGTACTTGGTGGCAAAACCCTTGTTGGCAATCACAGAGGTCAGACGTTTCTTGTAGTTGGCCACCAGATTTGCACACATCTCAGGAGGGATTTTGTTCCACTCCTCTTTGCAGATCTTCTCCAAGTCATTAAGGTTTCGAGGCTGACGTTTGGCAACTCGAACCTTCAGCTCCCTCCACATATTTTCTATGGGATTAAGGTCTGGAGACTGGCTAGGCCACTCCAGGACCTTAATGTGCTTCTTCTTGAGCCACTCCTTTGTTGCCTTGGCCGTGTGTTTTGGGTCATTGTCATGCTGGAATACCCATCCACGACCCATTTTCAATGCCCTGGCTGAGGGAAGGAGGTTCTCACCCAAGATTTGATGGTACATGGCGCCGTCCATCGTCCCTTTGATGTGGTGAAGTTGTCCTGTCCCCTTAGCAGAAAAACACCCCCAAAGCATAATGTTTCCACCTCCATGTTTGATGGTGGGGATGGTGTTCTTGGGGTCATAGGCAGCATTCCTCCTCCTCCAAACACGGCGAGTTGAGTTGATGCCAAAGAGCTCCATTTTGGTCTCATCTGACCACGACACTTTCACCCAGTTCTCCTCTGAATTATTCAGATGTTCATTGGCAAACTTCAGACGGCCCTGTATATGTGCTTTCTTGAGCAGGGGGACCTTGCGTGTGCTAAAGGATTTCAGTCCTTCACGGCATAGTGTGTTACCAATTGCTTTCTTTGTGACTATGGTCCCAGCTGCCTTGAGATCATTGACTAGATCCTCACGTGTAGTTCTGGGCTGATTCCTCACCGTTCTCATGATCACTGCAACTCCACGAGGTGAGATCTTGCATGGCGCCCCAGGCAGAAGGAGATTGACACTTATTTTGTGTTTCTTCCATTTGCGAATAATCGCACCAACTGTTGTCACCTTCTCACCAAGATGCTTGGCGATGGTCTTGTAGCCCATTCCAGCCTTGTGTAGGTCTATAATCTTGTCCTTGACATCCTTGGAGAGCTCTTTGGTCTTGGCCATGGTGGAGAGTTTGGAATCTGATTGATTGATTGCTTCTGTGGACAGGTGTCTTTTATACAGGTAACAATCTGAGATTAGGAGCACTCCCTTTAAGAGTGTGCTCCTAATCTCAGCTCGTTACCTGTATAAAAGACACCTGGGAGCCAGAAATCTTTCTGATTGAGAGGGGGTCAAATACTTATTTCCCTCATTAAAATGCAAATCAATGTATAACATTTTTTACATGCGTTTTTCTGGATTTTTTTGTTGTTATTCTGTCTCTCACTGTTCAAATAAACCTACCATTAAAATTATAGACTGATCATTTCTTTGTCAGTGGGCAAACGTACAAAATCAGCAGGGGATCAAAATACTGTTTTCCCCCCACTGTAGATGGGCATTCATAAAATTAAATTTCAGGCAACACAGTAGGCTACGCCTCAGTAAGCACGGACCGACGTTGATGCCTTTTGGACATCTACTGCAGTCAAAATCTATGTTTGGTTCAGATTTTGTCCGGTCTGGACCAGCCTTGATTTGGCCCAAACATACAGTACCAGTCAAAAGCTTGGACACATCTACTTATTCAAGGGTTTTTCTTTATTTTTACTATTTTCTACATTGTAGAATAATAGTGAAGACATCAAAACTATGAAATAACACATATGGAATCATGTAGTAATGAAAAACCATGAAGCTGGCTGAGAGAATTCCAAGAATGTGCAAAGCTGTCATCAAGGCAAAGGGTGGCTACTTTGAAGAATATAAAATATAAAATATGCACTACCAGTCAAATGTTTTAGAACACCTACACATTCAAGGGTTTTTCTTAATTTTGTACTATTTTCTACATTGTAGAATAATAGTGAAGACATCAAAACTATGAAATAACACATATGGAATCATGTAGTAACCAAAAAAGTGTTAAACAAATCAAAATATATTTTACTTCAAATAGCCACCCTTTGCCTTGATGACAGCTTTGCACACTCTTGGCATTCTCTCAACCAGCTTCATGAGGTAGTCACCTGGAATGCATTTCAATTAACAGGTGTGCCTTGTTAAAAGTTAATTTGTGGAATTTCTTTCCTTCTTAATGCGTTTGAGACAATCAGTTGTCTTGTGACAAGGTAGGGTTGGTATACAGAAGATAGCCCTATTTGGTAAAAGACCAAGTCCATATTATGGCAAAAACAGCTCAAATAAACAAAGAGATCCGACAGTCCATCATTACTTTAAGACATGAAGGTCTTTAACACTTTTTTGGTTACTACATGATTCCATGTGTTATTTCATAGTTTTGATGTCTTCACTATTATTCTACAATGTAGAAAATAGTAAAAAATAAAGAAAAACCCTTGAATGAGCAGGTGCTCTAAAACTTTTGACCGGTAGTGTATGTTGATTTGTTTCACACTTGTTTGGTTACTAGCAAGCAAGCAAGCAAGTTTATTTATATAGCACAATTCATACATCAAAGCAATTCAATGTGCTTTACAAAGATGTTTATCAAAAATAATGAAAACATAATAATAATAAGAATACAAAATAAAACAATAAAAAAACATATAAAGATTAGAAATGAAAAATGTATGATTCCATATGTGCTAATTAATAGTTTTGATGTCTTCACTATTATTCTACAATGTAGAAGATAGTAAAAATAAAGAAAAACCCTGGAATGAGTAGGTGTATCCAAACTTTTGACTGGTACTGTAGACGTCTATAAATGACGTCTTTTCAACTTTCATTCAGAACCAAAAATGAGCCTGATTTCAACATCGGGAAAATACATATTTTCAACATCTGGAAAATAAGTTTTTTCAACATCCTGAAAATAAGTATTTTCAACTTTCATTCAGAACCAAAAATGAACCAGATTTCAACGTCCGGAAAATACGTATTTTTCAACGTCCGGAAAAGATGCCTTTTCAACGTCCTGGAAAATATGCATTTTAAACTTAAGAAAAATACGTATTTTCACCTTTCATTCAGAACCTAGATTGAACTTAACTTCAACGTCTTTTCAACATCATTTTGCTTACTGGGACTCTCCTAGGCCCGGACACACACACACCTGAACCAGACAACACTAAGCTTGAGTGACAGACAGTCGGTCAGAGAGGTGAAGGGGGAAGGAATGGGGAAGGGAGGGAGGAGAGAGGGGGAGGTATAAAGCTGATAAGGAGACTCGTATTCCACCGGACAGAAGGGAAGATAAATATTGTCATAAGATCAGAGTGACCAGTCAGACACTAAGAAAACCTGACAGACTGAGAACATTAGTGAAACATAAATAAAGAGCTCTGGGTAATAAGTTAATAAGGGTAAAACGGGAACTGAGAGAAATAGAAAAAAAAGAGTGAGAAATTGACAGAGAAATTGAGACAGAAAGGGAAAAAGAGTGTGAGAACGGGGACACTGAATTCTATGGTAGTGGAGGCAGTGGCGTACCGCAGTTTGAACAGAATAAAAATAATAATCATTACAAAGCTAATGTCCTCTCTATGCTGTCTACATCTATACATGTTATTCTCACCTGCGAGGGGATCAGCCTTGATGTAGGAGAACTTGAGGGTCATCTCATGCTTGTGTCTGTGGATCATCAGGTGGTCTTCTGTTTGGAACCGCTGTATGGGGCGAATAGAGCGACAGAGAGAGATCAACTTAGCATGCTCACATTGATTTATGGAATGATACATAAAATGGCATGATTTATAAAATCATTATAATGGTGAAATCAGATATTAGATATCAAATCATCATGTGGTGAGGGGATTCTTTACTCGGGGTACACGTACACACACACACGCACACACGCACGAGTATACACACACACACACACACAAACACTGACCTGTGAGCAGCCAGGAGCGCTGCATCCATAGGGCCGGTCCTGTTCATCATTCATCTCTATTACAAACCTACAGTCAGAGAGACAAGAGGAGAGACAAACCTACAGTCAGCATTTGACATTTACATTTTGGGACGGAACCTTATCTCAGGGAAAATGATCCAGTCAGGGTCAGTGTGACCTCAGGCAGGATCCTGACTTAACTGATCTGCCTGAATGAAACTCTTACCCCAGGCAGAATCCTGCCTTAACTTATCTGCCTGAATGAAACTCTTACCTCAGGCAGAATCCTGACTTAACTGATCTGCCTGAATGAAACTCTTACCCCAGGCAAAATCTTCACTTAAGACGTGGTTTAAACTTAAATATACAGATGTAGTGAAATATATTGGCACCCTTGCACGATTCACTATTTCTTCTAAAATAAGTTGAAATTGAAAAAACGATTGGTGTTGCATACTTTTATTTTTTTGATTGACAACTGCACAGGACAAAAAAAAAAAAAATTTAAATTGAGATTTTTCACTTCCAAGTCCAAATTATTCAAAATTCGAATTACATTTGGTTGGAGGCAAGTGATTCTCGGCAAGTGTAATTTATCTCACCTGTGGTAAGTTGCAGGAGACTACAGGATAAAAAAAGCCATTCCACCCGTTTTGAAAGAGAAAACAGAAAATTGTGCTCCATTGCGCTCCATTGTAAAGTGCAAGGGTGCCAATAAATTTGACTGCATCTGTAGTATAGGCCTTGACTTTGATTCCCTTTGCTAGGTGGAAGAGAATACTCCATAAGTCCCATTCCTGAAAAAAACACGCATTGAGATTTGAAACTTGAGAGAGAGAGCATTGAGACTGGAGAGAGAGAGGGTTCAAGCCAACCACCAGCTGACCCTTACCACAGCAGTGAAATTAAGATGGAGGAGAGGGGAGGAGGGGAGTTGATGGGGGGTAATAATGAATTTTTAGAAGTGCTAGCCCTTCATTTTCCACTGAGCCCAGGACCTAGTGAACTCTGTCACCCCACGCATTCCTCACAGCCGTGTCAGAAAAAGGGCATGTCCCAAATGGTATCCTATTCCCTATGGGGCTTTGGTCAAAAGTAGTGCACTATACTGTATAGGGAATAGGTGTGATGAGAGTGATTAGAAGGAGTCAGGCGCAGGAGGGTAAATCACCGAATACAGAGTTTATTCCGTCGTACACAGTTGTGCTGGATAGCGACAACAAAATACAGGCACAGGGGAATAATCTACCCCAGCAATACAAGGTACGAGTAGCTCCACCGAGCTACACTCAACTCACAATAAAACAATCACCCACAAGGACAAGGGGGCAGAGGGAACACTTATACATGGACTAATGAGGGGATATGAACCAGGTGTGTGTAATTGACAAGACAAGACAAATGGAATGATGATATATGGAGCGGCAGTGGCTAGAAGGCCGGTGACGACGAACGCCGAAGCCTGCCCAAACAAGGAGGGGAGGCAGCCTTGGCGGAAGTCGTGACAATACAGAACATTAATAGACAAGAACAGCTCAAGGACAGAACTACATCAAAAACATATTAAAGGCACACGTAGCCTACATATCAATACATACACACAAACTATCTAGGTAAAATACGGGAGAGGCGTTGTGCTGTGAGGTGTTGCTTTATCTGTTTTTTTAAACCAGGTTTTCTGTTCATTTGAGCAATATGAGATGGAACAGAGTTCCGTGCAATAATGGCTCTATATAATACTGTATGCTTTCTTGAATTTGTTTTCTGGATTTCTGGACTATGAAAAGACCCCTGGGGCATGTCTGGTGGGGTAAGTTTGTGCCAAAGCTGTGTGTAAATTGACTATGCAAACAATTTGGGATTTTCAACACATTAATGTTTCTTATAAAAATAAGAATTGATGCAGTCAGTCTCTCTATATGCTAGCCAAGAGAGACTGGCATGCATAGTATTATGCATAGTATTTATATCAGCCCTCTGATTACAATGAAGAGCAAGACGTGCCGCTCTGTTCTGGGCCAGATGCACCTTAACTAGGTCTTTCCTTGCGGCACTCGACCACACGACTGGACAATAATCAAGATAAGACAAAACTAGAGCCTACAGAACTTGCTTTTTGGAGTGTGGTGTCAAAAAAGCAGAGCATGTCTTTATTACGGACAGACCTCACCCCATCTTTACAACCATTGAATCTATATGTTTTGACCATGACAGCTTACAATCTAAGGTAACGCCAAGTCTCCTCAACTTGTTCAACAGCCACACCATTCATTACCAGATTCAGCTGAGGTCTAGAACTTAGGGAATGATTTATACCAAATACAATGATCTTAGTTTTAGAGATGTTCAGGACCAGTTTATTACTGGCCACCCATTCCAAAACAGACTAAAACTCTTTGTTAAGGGTTTCAGTGACTTCATTAGCTGTGGTTGCTGATGCGTATATGGTTGAATCATCAGCATACATGGATACACATGCTTTGTTTAATGTCAGTGGCAGGTCATTGGTAAAAACAGAAAAGAGTAGAGGGCCTAGAGAGCTGCCCTGCGGTACAACACACTTTACATGTTTGACATTAGAGAAGCTTCCATTAAAGAAAACCCTTTTCAGTTCTATTAGGTAGCTCTGAATCCACAATATGGCAGAGGTTGAAAAGCCATAAGACATACAGTGGCTTGCGAAAGTATTCACCCCCCTTGACATTTCTCCTATTTTGTTGCCTTACAACCTGGAATTAAAATGGATTTTTTGGGGGTTTGTATCATTTGATTTACACAACATGCCTACCACTTTGAAGATGCTAAATATTTTTTCTTGTGAAACAAACAAGAAATAAGACAAAAAAACTGAAAACTTGAGCATGCATAACTATTCACCCCTCCAAAGTCAATACTTTGTAGAGCCACCTTTTGCAGCAATTAAAGCTGCAAGTCTCTTGGGGTATGTCTCTATAAGCTTGGCACATCTAGCCACTGGGATTTTTGCCGATTCTTCAAGACAAAACTGCTCCAGCTCCTTCAAGTTGGATGGGTTCCGCTGGTGTACAGCAATCTTTAAGTCATACCACAGATTCTCAATTGGATTGAGGTCTGGGCTTTGACTAGTCCATTCCAAGACATTTAAAGGTTTCCCCTTAAACCACTCGGGTGTTGCTTTAGCAGTATGCTTAGGGTCATTGTCCTGCTGGAAGGTGAACCTCCGTCCCAGTCTCAAATCTCTGGAAGACTGAAACAGGTTTCCCTCAAGAATTTCCCTGTATTTAGCGCCATCCATCATTCCTTCAATTCTGACCAGTTTCCCAGTCCCTGCCGATTAAAAACATCCCCACAGCATGATGCTGCCACCACCATGCTTCACTGTGGGGATGGTGTTCTCGGGGTGATGAGAGGTGTTCGGTTTGCGCCAGATATAGCGTTTTCCTTGATGGCCAAAAAGCTGAATTTTAGTCTCATCTGACCAGAGTACCTTCTTCCATATGTTTGGGGAGTCTCCCACATGCCTTTTGGCGAACACCAAATGTGTTTGCTTATTTTTTTCTTTAAGCAATGGCTTTTTTCTGGCCACTCTTCCGTAAAGCCCAGCTCTGTGGAGTGTACGGCTTAAAGTGGTCCTGTGGACAGATACTCCCATCTCCGCTGTGGAGCTTTACAGCTCCTTCAGGGTTATCTTTGGTCTCTTTGTTGCCTCTCTGATTAATGCCCTCCTTGCCTGGTCCGTGAGTTTAGGTGGTCAGCCCTTTCTTGGCAGTTTTGTTGTGGTGCCATATTCTTTCAATTTTTTTATAATGGATTTAATGGTGCTCCGTGGGATGTTCAAAGTTTCTGATATTTTTTTATAATCCAACCCTGATCTGTACTTCTCCACAACTTTGTCTCTGACCTGTTTGGAGAGCTCCTTGGTCTTCATGGTGCCGCTTACTTTGTGGTGCCCCTTGCTTAGTGGTGTTGCAGACTCTGGGGCCTTTCAGAACAGGTGTATCTATACTGAGATAATGTGACAGATCATGTGACACTTAGATTGCACACAGGTGGACTTTATTTAACTAATTATGTGACTTCTGAAGGTAATTTGTTGCACCAGATCTTATTTAGGGGCTTCATAGCAAAAGGGGTGAATACATATGCGCGCACCACTTTTCCGTTATTAATTTTTTAGAATTTTTTGAAACAAGTAATTTTTTTTCATTTCACTTCACCAATTTGGACTATTTTGTGTATGTCCATTACATGAAATCCAAATAAAAATCAATTTAAATTACTGGTTGAAACGCAACAAAATAGGAAAAACGGCAAGGGGAATGAATACTTTTACAAGGCACTGTAGATGCACACACACACACTACATGTTAATGTTTTTAAATGTATGTAAATTGTAAAGAGTTTTGTCTGTAGTCTTTTTCATTATGTGTCAGACCCTAGTAAGACCAGCTGTTGCCATTGGCGTTGGCTAATGGGGATCCTAATAAAGTAAAATCTAAATCATTTCTGCTTCTCTCACACAGCAAAGACGTTAAGGGACGGCGGGGAAAATGCAGTAAAAATTTTTTGATACGATTTCAGTTTGGCTTAGATGCATATTTTGTGGTTGAAATACGAATCAGCTTATATGATGCTGATAAAAATAGCACTTGTTTCTTACCCGACAGCGTCCTCTGAGAAGGCTGTTTCAGTTAACTTTATAAAGAGAACATGGTAGTCATTTAGCAGACGCTCTTATCCAGAGCGACTTACAGTTAGTGAGTGCATACATTTTCATACTGGCCCCCCGTGGGA